TGTACAATCTTCTTATCTTTCAACTCACTTAATGCAGTTTTCGACATTTACTTATTAAAATAAAAAGTTATTACGTCATAACGATGATAAATTATTTCCGTTTTGTAATTTATAAATTCTGATATATGCGAATATATCTGGATAAATTCGCAATATATCCAGATAAATTCGCAAATATATATTCGGATATATTCAACCACCCACGCATTAATTTGCATATTTCAAATATATCCGCATATATTCGCATATTATAAAATTTATCCAGATATATTTGCCCTCAAAAATTTCCTGATGATAATATAAAATAAAATAAATATACTATAGTAAAGAATAAAAATATTATATTTTATATGTAAAATTTCAATTTTCAAGAGTTAATTTCTTGATAATCACTAATCCAATTGTCATAAAATTTGATATGACTTTTTTTTTTTCAGAAAGAACAATTAATTCTATAATTATTTTATATAGATCAAATACAAAAGAATTGCTGTACTAAAAAGAAATTTCAATTTTAGTTAATTTATAATATAGGATACAATAAAACAGTTAATTTTTACTGATTTTTAACTAATCTATAATATAGGAATTACTATTTGATACAGTGATTCTTTTGTATTAACTAGTGTTAGCTATAACCATTCTGTGTAACAATTGAATTTTATTAAATGACAATTTACAATGTTAATTATCCATTTATACAAAATCAGGATTATAAATCTAATACAAAAAACATTTCAAAAAAAATAATTCAAAGATTAAAATATGTATAATAACTATTATTCTAAAATCTGTTATTTAAGTTTTAGAATTTTTTAAAGACAAAAACCTTGTAGTATATTACTTTTGTAAGTTACTGTAAAAATACAATAAATTATAATCTATATATTAAATTTTATATAAAATTCTAATTCATTTAATTTACACTAGTTAAATACAAAAGAATTGCTGTACTGAATGGTGATTCCTATACTACAGATCAGTTAAAAATCAGTAATAATTAACTGTCCTATTGTATCCTATATTATAAATTAGCTAAAATTGAAATTCCTTTTTGGTATAACATATTTTTTGTATTTGACTTGTGTCAGGAGTTAATTTATTAGAAGTACTACTTGAACTACTCATTTGTAATTTTCTTTTTTACACAAGTCAAATACAAAAGAATAGATATATTGAAAAGGAATTCTAATTTTAGTTGATTTATAATATAAGATACAATAGGATAGTTAATTTTTAGCTAATCTATAATATAGGAATTCTAATTTTTAATATAGAAATCACTATTTGGTACAGTAATTTTTTTGTATTTGATTGTGTTACTTGGAACTAGAACTTCAAATTGATTTATTTATTAACTCACATATAATTTATATCATATAAAATATATAAAATATCATTATAAAAATATAATGAATTGTAATTCATGTATTAAATTTTATATAAAATTCTAATTCATTTGATTTAGAAGTCAATTTATTAGGAGTATTACTTGAGACTATTTATTTGTAATTCAAAAGAAGATTTTTTACAAATTTCAAATAATTACATATTAAATAATTAAAATTTTGTCACAAATTAATTTAGCTTATTTGTGTATTATTCACAAATCTTCTACCTATTTGTATATTATTCACAAATCTTCCTGCCTATTTATATATTATTCACAAATTTTTTTATCTATTTTTATATTTTTCTACTTATTTGTATCAAAAATTTTACTTATTTTTCTTTATTCAGCCAGTATTTCTAATTATAAAATAAAATAAAACCAAATTTGAAATACAAAATTTATAATGACTTTATTAATAATTTAAAGACAAATATGTCTCCTTGATATCTTTTATTTTTACAAATACTAATAGTTTTAGTATGTTAGAATATATATTAAATACATGTAATTATGTAATTATAATGTTTTGCATTCACAATTTATATTAATAAAAACAAACTTTTTATTGACAAACTAATATTACCTCCTTATATAAATACTTTAAAAGCATATCAATTATATGTAAAACATATAACCAATTCAATTTCAGGTACATAAGATTTTCATTATTAAATTTCACTGATTTTCTAACATGAAGAAAGTGCTTGTTACATTTATTAAGATAATTTTCTTTGAAATATAAAATATATAAATGAGACAGAATTCAATTTCTCCATTTATTAAAAGTTCCATACACATTCATCTCATTCAGATAATATGATACATAAAATAATAATAATAATTATAATAAATAATAAAAATAAAATTTTAAATTATTAATTTAAAAAAGGTATTATTTTAAAAAAAGTTATTGCAAAAAAGTATTATTTTAATATTTCTATTAAACAAATCTCTCTTTTCTCTATATAAATTCCTCTTATCTATATATAATTTTCCTTCCTTTTCTCTATGTGTAATATGCCAGAAGAAAATAAAGAGTAAAAAAAAAAGAAAAACCTTTATTTAAAAGATACATTAAATAAATAATTAATACAAAATAAAAGAATTTTTTTAAGAAGAAATCATAAATATATATACATGTGTATATATAAACATAATATAATAATGATAATGATTATTTGAATTATTTGAAAGGGAATAATAATATTAATTAAATAGAAGGGAGAGATGATATAAAAAATTATAAAATTACACAAATATATAAAAATGTATATTGTAAAAAAAAAAAGTATAAATCATAAAATTTTTTTTCTCGTATTTTCTAAAAGAAGAACCATCATCTTCTATAATGACAGAAAAAAAAGACAATTAAAAAAAGGAATTAGATAGAATAATAATTTCAAAAAAAAAAAAAAAAAACTGAAATATTTTTTCATTTTTAAAATTACAATTTTACAATAATTTATATAATATTAATGATGTTAATGGAAAGTCAATGTACCTTTCCGGAAGGAACACACAACCTCCCCCAATTTTAAAATGAAATTAAAGAAAAAAAAAAACAGAAGAAAACCCAACCCTCAAAAAAACAAAAAAAAATAAATATTAATATATTATTAGATAAAAATGTGAAAAACATCACATATATTTCTTGATAAAATAAGATAATTTTTTTACCTTATTTACATAATAATACAATTACAATTACCACCATTTGGTGCATAAGGGTCATCACGTTTATCAACTGGTCCCCAAACTGATGGTACCAGAAAATCTCTAGTGTCTCTACAATATGTAATTAGACTAAATAATATTTATTTAATTTAATTAATTTTTGTATTTAATAAATTATCATCAAATATTTAAATTAAAATTCTCATTTATACCTTGCACTTGCTTCACTAACTCTTACTCGTGAACGATCTAAATCTTCACGAAGTCTTTGATTAAGTTCTACTAATCGACGGAGCTTAAGTTCTGACATTGAATGTTGTTTTTGTTGTCTATGCATTTTTTTTTTTTGGCTTACTAATGATATTTAAGGTAATAATAATAATAATAATAGAATTACAGGGAAAGATATATAAAGAATTGATTATGATTATCTATAAAATAAATAAGAAAGAGATCGTAAGTATTAATATATTGACGTGTTCAAAATAATGGTTTTAAATTTTTTTATAATGAATACGTAGATCTAGTTCTTTTAACATAAAGTAATATAGAATGTGGGATGACTTGTTCGACCAAGTAGTAAATCGTTGAACCATATATCGTACATAGAATAAAATTTATTAAAAAAATAGTACGTAAAAAAAAAGAAACAATAACTTACTTTTTTTTATTTTTATTTTATTAAATATAAACTTTTTTTTTTGAAATTGTGCTATATTATTATATAAACCGAAAGTAGAAATTAATTAAATTATTAAAATTATTAATTGTTTATAAAAGTTTTTAAATCTCAAAATATATTTTATTTTATTTTTTTTTTTATATATATTTTTTAAAAGAACTCATACCAGAAGGAATGTGACAGACTGCTTTAAAAAGAAAGTAAAGAAAAAAAAATATAGGGAACAAAGTTCCAAAGTTTGTATTGACCAACAAATCCAATTTCCGAATTATATTGGTTGACAATATGAATTCTTGTTAACCTACTATCTAAATGTCTTTGTACTCTTTGTTTAACGTTAAAGAATTTGGAGGTCGTATTACAATACAAATTTCTTTTGTGTAATACAAAATCATTATTGATTTGATTATTTGTATCATGTCTCGCGGAAATTTAGTAGGAACAAACATAATTCTTTCCGATCGAGCTCAACCTTTAGCAAATTATCCACATGCTAAAGTAATAGCAGGATTTATTTTTATATCTGGAATTTCTTGTCGAAAACCTGATAATACGTAAATATATTGTAGATATTTTGTTGTATATTATGTATATTATATTGTACAATTGTATACTGTATTAATGATTTTTTTGTTTTTTTTTTAGATATGAAGGGGTAAATGAATTACTATCAATATCAACATCTATATCTATCTTTAACCTTCTAACAATTACCTATTTTTAAGGTAAATGAATTACCCAATGGTGAATTAGAACTTGATATAAAAGAGCAAACTCGCGCAGTAATTAAAAATATTGAAATAATTCTTAAGGCATCATCTCCAGAAGCATCATTAAATGATTTAATAGATTTAACAGTATTTTTAATTGATATGAAAGATTATTCCGGATTTAATGAAATTTATAATGAATTTTTTGATGCTAAAACTGGACCAACTAGAACCACCGTAGCTGTTAAACAACTTCCATCGGTAATTTAATCATTTAATATTTAATTAATGATATTAACAATGATATTACATTTTAATAATTTTTTATTTTTTTTAGCCAAAATTATTAATTGAAATCAAAGCCACAGCTCGGGCACCTTGAACACGTTATATATTTATATTTGTATATATTTATAAAATTAGTATCACATAATCTTTAATATTTATTTGTTTAATTAATTACTAAAATCCATTTTATCTACTTTATTAGCATTTTCTTCTTTATAATGTCAAAGGTAAAAAATTATTATTATTATTATTATTATTATTATTATTTAAATTATTTCTAGATACAATACAGATAATAGAAGTGATAAATAAATAATGTTTTTTAATAAATTATTGATAATCAGGAATTCAAAGTACTTTACTTTGCATCAGCAAAAGATGCTACGAATCTATCATCTGAAACAATTTCATTTCCATCATCAAATCCTTCTTCTATATCACTTCAAGAATTAACTCAAATTTTAAAAAGTCGACATAAAAAACTTGGTAAAATACTTGAACATTCTATGTATGCTATTAATATGAAATACGTTGAAATAGATGATACTTCAATATTTGTTAAAGAAGGTGATGAAGTGGCGGTTATTCCCCCTGTTTCGGGAGGTTAAAAGAGGTTAAAAAAATTTTATTTATTTAAATTGAATTATTATTTAACCCTAAACATTTATTATTGTTATATAAAATAAATATTATTAAAAATAATATATAAAGTATGATATTGCACATATTCTATTGTCATTTATTCTTCTTCGAGAACCCAATAATTTCCTACAACTGGAATCTTTTGTAAAACTTCACGACGAACTTTGGGAATTCTTTCGGCAATAAGCAATACAGCTGACCCTGCAGCTGCTCCAAATAAAATAACTGATGGTGCCCTATTTATATATACATAAATATAATATGTTAAAATGTTATATTTATAAAATTTAAAAAATGAGTATATTATTATAATTAATATAATATTAAATTATCAGCTATTCATTTTTAATATTACCAAGCTCGAGCTCGTTCAGGAGTAATACGATAAAAATGTCTTTGGAATTGAATATTGAGAGCCATGTTTTATTTGTATTATTTTATGAAAATTTAAAAAAAAATTTTTTTCTTCTCGAAAATTATGTGCCACAAAGATTATGATCAGACTGATCGTTCCTAAATGCATAAAATTTGAGCTACAGTATGTAGTAAAATTTATTTGTAAGAAAAACCCTTAATTACATGATATCAAATCAATAGTACTTTTACTCAAAACAGCACACGACTATCGAAGAAACAATTTTATCTCTCTGTTATCCAGGTAAACCCTCTTTCTTATTGTTTTGATAAATTTATTTAAATTTCATTGTTAATACTGGCTTTTCTAAGAATACTGGAGTAAACCTATATTGTGTTACCGATTGGGATATGTTTTACATTAAAAAAATACCCAAAGCAATCAAACATGATTCCCATAATTCACTTGGAGCTGAGCTAGCGATTCTTGGACGACTTCCGGAAAAGGGACCTCAATATAAGCACGCAAGTTTAATGAAACAACAGCTTAAAGTTAAGTTTTATTTTTTTTTTGGCATACTTGCACAAACCATATCCTTGCGGTCTCTGGTCGATGTTTTGTCACAGAAGGAAAGCGGTTCGTTTGCCTGAAGGCAGAATGTGCTGATGGTACGCGTGATTTGAGAGTTTGAATGGCTATGTGCTGATGGCACGTGTGGTTTACAACAATACGCATTGTGAAAGTTATAATACAGTATATTAATGTTTTTTATTTTTAAAGTTAGGAATCCAATAAGTTTCAAGTAAACATTGATCTGTCATAAAGAATATTAGCAAAATCAGAAGTCGGTAAGAGAGTGAATATAGTAAGTATGGCTGAATTATTTTTTTAAATGTGAATAAACATATTGTCTTATTAAAATGTTACAATATAGCAATAACCACTGGCATATCAGCTGGTATTCAGCATTTTAAGATGTATATAATATGCATTTAGATAATCAAAGGTTTTAGGTTAAGTTATCATTTTATAAGTTATTTCACGCATATTGAATTCTAATAGAACTCAAGCTATTTCTGGAGTTGTATTACAATTATCAAATCCTGATAGAAACCAAGCTGTTTTTAAAACTGAACAAGTATTAAATCAGTGCAGAAATGATTTCGATTATAATAAAGAAGATTTGGAAACCAATGATGTGAACATTAGAGCTTCAAGTGAGTTGATTCATTAACTTGCATATGAATTGTATACTTTAAAAAAACATAATGAGTTGTAATCCATGTATTAAATTTCATATGAAATTCTGATTGATTTGAAAGTTAACTTATCAGAGCACTAGTGAACATTGATGAAATTATTTACTGGTCAAATGAAAAAAAAATAAGCAAATTTTTTGGTACAAATAGATTTTAGATAATATGCAAATAGGCAAGGAGATTAGTAATGATATTTAGGTAGGCAAGAAGATTTATTGTAGCATAAAACTAATCCAGTTTGCTCAATAGTAGTCATTATGCTTTTTTAATAGTAAAGGTTATATATTTATTAAGCTAATATCAAAAAAAATTATTAAGTAAAGTTATAAATTTATTTAAGATGTACTTACAATAAAATTTTTCGATTTGTTATATAAAAATTGAATAATTAATAAGGAATTTAAATTTAAATTTAAATAATTTCAATTAAGCTTAATTTTGATATAATATAATTAAAAACTTTATTGTAAGTACATCTTAAATAGCTTTAAAACTTTACTTAATAATATTTTGAATATTAACTTTGATAAATAAAAAATTTTTTATATAACCATGATATTTAATTTAGAAAAAGAAATATTAACAATAAAATTTTATTAATCTTATTGCTAATATTTCTTTTTTGAATTTGAATGATAAGTAATATAATTTTCAAATTTATATTTTTTAATATACTGTAAATACAAAAAAATTGTTGTACTGAATGGTAATAGATTAAAAAAAATCAGAAAATTGTTAAAAAAGAAATTGAATGTTTAACAAGAATTCAGAACTTAAATTTACAGATTTAATGACATTAATAAAATTTTATTATTAATAGTTTCTTTTTTTGAATTTGAATAATATACAGGATTTTTGGATTTGTAAATTTGAGTTAAACTTATAGGCTTGCATTAAATTTATGAGTTTGATTTAAATTCAAGTTAGATTTAATTAGGTTGAATTTGATAAACCTGAATTTAGTTTGAACCAGACTTAAATTTTTAAGACCTAATTCAAATTTTATGAAATTAAAAAACTTGACTTATAAATATAGATAATTGTTTTAGTTTATTGTTAAAAAATTTTTTTTTTAAATTAAAGCAATTATCTATATTTATAAAAAGCTTTAATTATAGAATATATTTAAACATTAGTTGTATATGCAACTCTTTATTTAATAAAATTGTATTTTTTAATTATATAAACAAACTTATGTAAATAAATAAATTCAAAAATATAAATGATCAAATTAATAGTTAAATTAATAGTTAATTAATAATTAAACCAATAGTTAAATTAATGTTTTTAACTAATAGCTGAATCAAAGTAAAAACCAGAGTCTAACCAATAATTTTTAAATCAAATCAAACTAAGTTAAACTAATAATCCTAATTATATCTCTATATAAAAAAAAATACAAAATATTAATATTATAAGTTAATGGTTTTAGTTTACCTTATACATGTTATCAAAACTATTGAATTGAGTCAGATACAATTAAAAATTGAAAAATTAAAGTTAAATTAAGTAAAATTTCATTTTTGCATAGTAAATTGATGTAAATCAAAGACTTTTTACTTTTAATGATATGTATAGTTTACTTAATCTAGTAACTAGGATATCTGAATTAATTCATAAAGTTAATAAATCAATTTCAGTTAAATATATGATCAATAATTTTTTCCATAATTTAAAGATTGTTCAGGTATTAACTAGTATTCTAATCTAAAAGAGAATAATTGAAATCTTTTTAAGTATTACATGTAATATTTACAAATAGGTCATATGAATTGAGATATATGAATTTATATAAAATAACTAGTACTTAGACTAGTAGTCAAAAATTAAGTTTAATTCTCAAAGTGTTTGTTATATTAGTTAATAAAAAAAAAACTGATAAAAAGTAAGACAAATAACTTAATCAGATATTATTTATTTATGATAGTAATTATGATAAACTAGTGGTGGGATCCATTTAAGACATATCCAGATATCCGGATAGGCAGTTTGGTAAATAGATAATTTTTCTGGATAAATGGATATCCGAACGGATATCTGTTCAGATCTGCAGATTATTTAAGCTGATCTGATTTATAAAAATAATAATTACAACATAATTATATATACAAAATCATCAATCATCGCTACATATAAAACGTTTTATATTCTTAGTAAATATCAAAAATAGTACTAAGTAACTTCAAAGATAAAAATGAATTGCGTATTATATTTAAAGGACAGACCTATATCATCAAAATTGAGTGAACAATTGTCATTTTAAATTTCTTTCATCCGTTCAAAATTTAATTGCTAATAATTCTCTCAATTTTGATAATATAGATCTGTTCTTTTAATATAATACGCAAATAATCCTTATATTTAAGATTACTTAGTACCGTTTTTGATATTTACTTATTAAAATAAAATAATTTATATGTAACAACCATCGATGATTATTTCTGATTCTTATATTATTATAAAAAAAATAATATTATATCGTGCGCGAAATATTTTTTTTATCCATGGATATATATACAGATAAGTATGAATAAATACGGATAAAAGCGAATAAACATGGATAAATATGGATATCCACAGATATATTCAAATATCCTCGGATATCTGCAGATATATTCAGATGTTTAATTATGGATATCTGTATCCGTAATAAAGCTTTACAGATATCTGTTCACAGATAAATGGATATCCAGATCCCACCACTATGATAAATAACTCAGATACTTCTGAATAAAAAGTAATATTAACTTCCTAATTCTATATTCTTTATAAAATAATTGCTTATATTAAAGATTGTAGGTATAATATGAATTGAGTTAGGAATTTAATCAGATTTAATTTACATCAAAAAATTTTTACTCACAAATATATATAGATATATTCACTGGTCAAAAATTAATAAAACATACACATATCAGATACCCGATATGTGTATGTTTTATCAATTTTCGACCAGTGATTCGCAATTAATAAAAATTGAATATATGCAAATATATTCATAAATATATATGAATATATTTAGTGTAATATATAAATTAATATAGATAAATGTGAATTGATATAATTTATGTAAATAAATACATGAGTGATCAAATATATCTGAATATATTTGTTTTCAAAAATTTTCTGATGTAACTAATTAAGTTCAAGAATTAATTTAGTGCAATTGGTATAATAATTAAATTCTGATACAAAATCTAAATTCTAGTATAAAGACTAAATTACATTGGTTAAAAATTAATAAAACATATACATATCAGGTATCCGATATGTGCATGGTACGTCCCTAATATCAGGCATATATCGGGTACCCGATAGGTGTAAAAAATATTTTATATATATATCAGGTACCCGATATATACCCGATATTAAGAATGTACCATGTACAGTGGGGTATCAAAAGTCACCGGACAGTTGAAATTTTTTAAAAAAATCACTAAAATTAAAATGCTAATTGTGC